CGCCTGCCAAACTTGGCTGGGCGATGCGTTGGGAGCAGAGCCGGGCAGGGCCTGGCGGCTCGCTGTGGCCTGGCGGGTTGTGGGGAGGCAGCAGGGCTCCCCTGGCTGGTGGGGGACAGCGTGGTGCTGGTGCTGCCCTCCTCTCTTTAGAGCTGGGGAAGTCGTGTGCTTTGCGCCAGACTCGTTTCCGCGCGGAAACTTTCAGCCGGGCGCGGAGCGTGGTGCCCTGCCAGCTTGCAATCCTCCCGGACGATGTGCTTTAACTCTGAGCATGAATTATGCAAACCTCGGGCTTTCTTCTGCTCCCCTTCTCCCATCCCCCCGCTGCTTCAAAGCCACCAAAGCATCACGGGAGGCATTTCCAGCCCAGACCTCTCGCGTTGCCCACCAGAGAGCCACGCGTGTTACCAGGCGCGTTGTGCTCCTGCCGTGCCCGCTCGCCGCCCCGCTGGAGCCTGGTGCTCAGGCGGGACAGGGCTGACCTCGGGCAGCCCTGTTTACCAGGTTTATTTTCCTTTCCTTCCCCACACCTGATGCCAGGAGCGGGAGTTGACGATGTTCTGCTCAAACGTCTGTTCTTGTGCCTGCCGCGATAAAAATAACTTAAATTATAAACCTGCCTGAAACCCTGCGAACAAAGTCCTACTTTCCCATTGGTTCCCGGCAGGTCTCTAAATGCTGGAGGGAGGAAGGCAGGCGCGTACCCACCACGCCGTAGCCATGGCAATGGGTGCCGCAGCATCGCACTTTGTGCATTAAGGCAGTAGTTCAGTTGCCCCTTTGCTCTTGCTCCCGGGGCACGGATCATCTGGAGGAAAGAAAGAGCCTCTAGTTTCAGCCAAGAGGAGTTTTCGCAGCTGGGCCTGGCCTGGTTAGGGGAGACCCTATAGGGGAGGATGTGCTTGCAGGTGTGGGACCTGTGTGAGTTGGGCAGGACGGGAGGGCCCATGACTCCCCGCAGGGAGCCCGGTGCAGCCTCCCTCGCTGGCAGTCATTGCCTTAAATTAATGATGAGTGCATGCGTGGGGGAAGAGCTTGCAGCAGAGCGGCTCTGCGAACGCCCAAGTGACTCACCACCAGCGCTGGGGCAATTGCGCGCGGGAATGGGGGGACCCCGTGGGCCGGCCCATCGGGGCGGGGGGCAGAGGCGCAGGGCGTGCGGTGACACTCGGGTAGCCTAGTCCTACTCCGACCTCTCGCCTGACTCCCACCTTGCTGGTGGGGTGACAGGTCAGACGCCGGCCGTGCCCTGACCTCACGTGTCCTCCGGCTTTCGCAGGAGCGTGCAGAGAGCTGGGATCCTGCGAGAAATGCCTCGAGGGCGCTGCCTCCCACAACGGCACGGGCTGCGTGTGGACGGGCTGCGGGACGCCCGAGCGACCAAACCAGGTGGCCTTCCCCGGGGTGCCCAGCCCCAGCTGCTTTCCACGGTCAAGGCCCTGTCTCGCCCTGTGGGGAGGCAGGGGATCCTGCAAGCCCTGACCTTTCAGCCCAGCCGCCTGCCAGCCTGGCGTGCTGGGGGTGTAGGATTTCGGCATCTGCTGCTTCCAGTCGCGCTGGGCTTGGGGTATTGCTGGAAACCCTCCACCTCTCGATCCGGGAGCACGGGGAGGAGTGGAGGGAGCCAGGGTGGAGAAGCGCTGGGCTATTGGAGAAAGTGGTTATTTAAAAAGCGCTGGTCCCGCAGGCTCTGGGGCTCTTTCCCGCGGTGGCACAGATGCGAGTCCCGGCTCGCAG